TATGGAGAGCCTACCCGATGCCCTATGCCCATGGGTCCTGCACCAGGGGTAGGGATGGGATGGTGAATGTGGAGGATGGTCCCTGATGTAAAACTCAGAGCCAGATGAGTCTGTCATGAGCTTTCTCAACTAGAGTGCCAAAGGCAACACAAAATAAGGTCCAAAATAATGCTGGGTTTTCACATTCCACTTGCCTTTTCTGGGTCCTCTCCATTTAGTAACTAACCCACCACATTCAAGCTAGTGACAATGGCCATCCTGATTTCTTGCTCTGTCATCCACATCCAATCCCACAGGGCCTGTGGGCTCTGCCTCCACCATACATCTTAGCTCCACCCACCAGAATCATCTCTCTGTGTACTGGGATCTCGCAGGTTTCATCTCTGCCCCAGGTCCATCTCCTTTTTCCTTTTTTCTTTAATTTATTTTTAGGTGTAGATGGACACAACACAATGCCTTTATTTTTATGTGGTGCTGAGGATTGAACTTGGGTCCTGCCTGTGCTAGGCGAGTGCTCTACTGCTGAGCCAAATCCCAGCCCCCAGGTCCATCTTCTGAGTAGTAGTTAGAGCAGTCTTTTTAAGGTAAATCACATAATTCCTCTGCTGACTTGCTCATTGTCTTCCTAGCTATTGGAATTTAAAAAAAAATCCAGGAGCTAGAGTAGATCACAAACTTTGCATGCATGAGGCTCTAGTTCCATCCCCAGCACTGCAGGAAAAAAAATTCAAAATCCTGTCCTGGTTTCAAGGCCCTGGGTAGCCAGACTAAGTCCACCCACTGGATCTCCCATTTTCCCACATTGCCCTGCTGCCTTGCTCCAGCCACACTAGCTTTCTTGCCTGCTCCACCTCAGGACTTTTGCACCATCTCTCTCTTCATATGGAACACTTTTCTTCAGATCTTCCTTTGATCCACTCCTCCTTATACTCCAAAATGTCTTCCAGATCTTTCTGAGTGTTGTCCCACTTCCAGCTACTCTCTGTTCTTATTCAGTTCTAATTTGTTTATACTACCTACCATTCCTTGAACTTATTTATTTATGAGTTTGTCTGTCTCCTGTCTATCTACCCTCATGAACATCCTAACAGCAGAGACTATGTCTGTCTTTTTTAAAAAAATATTTTTAGATGTTATGGACCTTTATTTTATTCATTTATTTACATGTTTGCTGAGAATCAAACCCAGGGCCTCACACATGTTAGGCAAGTGCTCTTACCACTGAGCCACAACTCCAGCCCCTTATGTCTGTCTTTTGCACCTCAGAACCCACAGGACCTCGAGTTCTCTGTGCACTCAGCACATGCTCAGTAAATATCTGCTGAGTGGATGGAGTAGGAGGCTATGTAGGGGTATGCCCCCCAGACACCGCAGCAAGGAAGGCTTTCCAGAGGACGGAAGTGCAGCTGAGACTGCAGGGCCTTAGTGCAGGAGTCACCCTGGAAGGGAAAGGCCAGTCCATACAGAAGGACCTAGAAAACAACAGCAGAAAAGGGATATAGGAAGGTCCAAAGTGTGGAGCATTCTGGAAACTGTAAATTGTTCAATTTGACTGGGGTAGAAGCTGGGCAGGGTCAGAAATCAGAGGAGCTGGAGAAGTAGAAGGCAGGACACTTGGCCTTATTACTCCCTGAAGAATTGGAGCTCTGTGTGGAGGGCAGTGGGAACAGTGTCCTGGCGGGCATTTTAGAATGGGCTGCTGAGTGCAGAATGCTTTCTATGAAGAAAGTTTGGTGGTGGTCCTGCGGTGCTGGGAGGTGCCGTGCCCAGGTGAGAGATGTCAGGGCCCTGAGCCAGGTAGGTGGTGATGCAGAAGGAAGGACGTGGCCACGTGTGCAGGAGACATTGAGGAGCAGCCTGGCCAGGGCTGAATGGGGGAGTCAGAGTCCAAGTCTCAACCTCCAGGGACTCCGTGGACAGACGTGCTGTTCCCTGGAGGTAGGGAGGAAAGAGCAGGTTTTGGGAAAGACTGGGGTTCTGTGTTGGATTGGTCGAGTGAGTAGGGTCCAGGTGGAAAGTTGTACAGTTTAGGGTTCCAGAAAGAGGGAGTGGTCCGTGCAGTCGGCCACAAAGGGAGGCTGCACCCTCTTGGATGACATATGAAGAGGAAGTGTCCACTGGGGGAGTGGCTGGAGGACGCTGGACTCCAGCAGCCTTGGCTTGGGTCAAGCAGTGAACGGAAGTGAAACCATAAGTGGAGTGCAGATTTCTCTGTCAAGAAGTTTGGAGGGAGAGCAACAGTGCTGCTGCTGGGAGCCTCGCAGATGCCTTAGTGTTTTCTTATTTGAAGTTGGAAAGGATTCAAGTCCTTTGGAATTTGGAAGGAAGGATCCAGAAGAGAGGGAGGTTGGCAATACAGGTAGGGCAAGGGGATGGCATGGAGCCCAGGTGGTTGAGGAAGGGAGCCTCTTCCTTTGTAACTGGCAAGGAAAGCAGAATCCCCAGCTTGGATGCCAGGGGGCTGGGAATGAGAGTTCCCAGGCAATGGCTTCTATTTTCTCCAAAAAGTGGCAGGGGGAGATCCCTGGATGGTTCTGGAAACTGTGAATTGGCCATAGAGTGGGGACCTTGCAAGACTGGGGGCATTTGAAATGCCACTGAGGGGAGTGGGCAGGGAGCACAGGAAACAGGGCTGCTGGCATGAGTGAGAGCCCAGCTGAGGGTGGAGATCAGCAATTTGCAGTGGTTCCAACCCGGCCTTCAGCAAGATGGCTATAGGGTTTTTCCAGACAGAGGTGACAGGAAAATCCTATGGGTCGAAGTCAGTGATAAGTCTGATGACTGGGCACCGGGAAGGTAAGAAGGGAAGAAATAGAAGGGTCAGTGTACTGGGTGGGAGGAGAGGACTCCATGCCAGGGAAGAATCTGGAAGCCCCCATCTTAGTTCATTTGGGCTGTTATAACAAAATGCATTATTTATTTATTTTTGCAGTGCTGGGGATTAAATCTAGGACACTGTGCGCGTTAGGCATCCCCAGCCCTAGACTGGGTAATTTATAAACAGGAATTTATTGCTCACAGTTCTAGAGGCTGGGAAGTTCAAGGTCAAGGTGCCAGCACATTTGGTGTCTGGTGAGGTTCTGTTCCTCAGAGTGGTGCCTTTTAGTCATGTACTCTTTTGGTAGGAGTGGGAACAACATTTTTCAGGCCTCTCTCTTTTGAAAAAAATTTTATTAAAACAAAAATTTTTTTTGGCAGGGCCTAACACATGCTGGGTTTTAGGACTCAATCTCTTAGTCTCTCTCTCTCTCTCTCTCTCTCTCTCTCTCTCTCTCTGGTACCAGAAATTGAACTCAGGGGGACTCAGTTACTGAGCCACATCCCCAGCCCTATTTTGTATTCTATTAGAGACAGGGTCTCACTGAATTGCTAAGTACCTTGCTGTTGCTAAGGCTAGCTTTGAACTTATGATCCTCCTGTCTCAGCCTCCTGAGCTGCTGGGATTACAGGTGGGCGCCACCACACCCTGCTCAGGTCTCTTTTTTAAGGAGAAAACCCTCATGATCTAATCATCTTTAAAAGGTTACCTCTCTTTTTCTTTATTTTTTTTTCAAAGAGAGAGAGAGAGAGAGAGAGAGAGAGAGAGAGAGAGAGAGAATTTTAATATTTATTTTTTAGTTATCAGCAGACACAACAGCTTTGTGTGTATGTGGTGCTGAGGATCGAACCTGGGCCGCACGCATGCCAGGCGAGCATGCTACCGCTTGAGCCACATCCCCAGCCCCAGCTTTTTCTTTATTTTTTAAATTTTGCAGTAATGGGGACAAAACCCAGAGTGCTCTACCCCATGCAATTCTCCTGCCTTAACCTGGCAAGTTGCTGGGTTTATAGGCATGTGCCACCACACCTGGTCCTGAAGACTTTTAATACCAAAGATGTCAGTCACTAGGTTTTAACATGAGTGTTGGGGTTCAGGAACATTCAGACTATATCACCCCCAGGACCAATAGGGATGGGCAGAGGGTCTAGGGTGGGGAAGTGACAGGGACATTGTTTGACTTTAAAAAGGGAATCCTGGGACCTGGAGTGCCTTCCAGCCAGAGGCTACCAAATAAGGGAGGGGACCCAAGATGCTTTCATGGGACCTAGATCCCTTCTCTAGCCCTTCTCACTTTAGGGCCACTGGCCTGGAAATGGCCCAGCTGGAATTTTAAACACTGGAAGCTGTAACTGGAGCCTTTGGACCAGGATGCCAGAGTTCAACATGCTCCCCACCACCAACACGTTCATCATTAGGTAAGCCCATTCTTTGCATGGTCCCACCCAGCCCCTGCCCATGAGGATAGCATGCACCAGTCCAATTCCCCTTCCTGACCCTGGAAAGAGGCTAAGAGTGTTCATATGGGAATAGGAAGGGGACCTCTTTTCACCAGCTCTCCCTTCCACTTTCGAGCTTTTCGGAACTCCCCCTGAGAATCGGACTTCATGCCAAGAGCTTCAAGTGCTTTTGAAGGAAACTCTCATCAGCTGGGTGGCGCCCCATCAAACTCAGAACTTCCCGCGCTCCAGGCAAGTAAGTACTCCACTACTAAGCTACATCCCCCAGCTCGCATCCGCCGGTTTTGCCGCTCAGGATCCTTGAGGCTCCTGTCCCTCTCCCAGAGGAGACTGGAGACTCCCTTCCATCCCAGCAGGGTCCTAGGATCTGGCTCTGCCCCAGGGAGGCTGTATCTCCTGCTTTGGAAGGGGGCTGGGTCACCATTAGGGGTTCTGTAGTGCCCTATACTAGACTCAGTCTGAGTGGACTTTTGCTCTCTTAAAAAGCCGAAGCAGTGCTGGTGYCGGCGACCACAGCGAGGACTGGACATGCCAGGGGGTGCCAGGCGCAGAACGCAGAACGCTGCGGGAAGGCGCACCCAGGTCAGGGGGACTCCGATCCCGCCCCTAGAGCAGCGGCTTCCTCTCCGGCCCTCGCGTCTCCTCGCGCTTCTGCGAGTTCGCGCCTGGGCCCGCCAGAGGGCGCCCGGGGCGGAGGAGGAGCGGGAGTAGGGGCGCCCGGGGAATGCCAGGCCGAGTGGGTCCCGCAGCGTGGGTGCGGCTGAGGTCCGTGCGTCTGCCGGACGGCCAGGGAACCGGCATTCAGGAAAGTCCTGGTTCCAGGGGTTGAGCGCTCAGGGAACGGGCGTTCTCCGACACCGGGCCGCCTCAATGCAGTCACCCCGGATCCTCCCTGGCCCCTTTGGCCGCTCTGGGAGGGACTGCTGACGGGCTGCGACCTGGCCTCCAGCCTCGGCCTCCTGGTGCCGGGGCGGAGCGCAGGCTGAAGCGCCCACTTTGCAGGGGGCCCCTCCCGCGCCCCAGGCCCCTCCTCTCCCCTCCCCTCCGCTCCGGGGGCGAAGCTGCTGCAGCCGCCGAGCGCCCGCCATGGGCGTTATGCTCGCCGCCCGGCTGCTGGGACTGTTGCTCCTGCTGGGGCTGCGGCTCCAGGCTGCGGGCATCGCAGAGCCACCGCTGCCCACCGTGGTGCTTGCCATCCTGGCTCGAAATGCTGAGCACTCACTGCCCCACTACCTGGGCGCGTTGGAGCGGCTGGACTACCCCCGGGCCAGGGTGGCCCTCTGGTGAGAGACCCCGGCGCAGGCATCACTGGGCACCAAGCCCCAAGCCTCGCGATTCGCCCTCAAGTCTCTGAGCATCCCGCCTAGGACCTCCATCATTTTGGGGGACAGGACAGGCCTCTGAGGCCATAGGTCGACCCACCCCTGCTTCCGGCCCCCTGCTCCTCTTCTTGGGGCCTCCTCTGGATAATTTTGGTCCATCCCTTCTTGTCCCAGCTCACAGAGCCTAAGCTGAACCCCAGTGGGATCTGTTGTCGCTTGACTTGTGGTGGAGTGCACAGGAACCTCTGGAGTCCCCTGGAACCTAATATGGCAGAGACCAGCCAAGCTGGAGGTTCCTGGGGAGCAGATGGGGTTGAGGCAGCCCTGGGCCCTATACTGTGTGGAGAGTCAGGCTGGCTCCCTCCAGCCTATCTGGGTAGAGGGGTAGGTAAGTCCTGCCAGCCAAGGGTAGCATCCCCCTCCTGGGAGCCTCCCTCTGACATCCCCATAGGGCAGCACTGGGATCAGAGGCCACAGCCCCCAGTTTAAAGACCAGACAGGGAGGAGTCCCAAACTGAGGTCAGGGATAAACTGAGAGAAATGACAAACTACCCCTCACTGCAAACCAAAGTTGGTCTGGGGTGGAGTCATGGCCTGCAAAGGCGGCCCACAGTCACAGTCTGGGAGTGAGTTAGTTCCCACCCCATAAGACTTGACACGTAGTTAGTCTTCACTTCTAGGGAATTGGCTTAAAGGGGCAGCATCATCTAAAAGTTTGGCTCTTGGCTAAGTCCACCACTTCTGGGTATGAGAGCCCCTTCCCCAGGAGATGGGAGGCTGTGCTCCATGGCAGCAGAGCTTTGGCCCATCTGCATTTCTCAGGGACACTCAGGGCATGGTTTAGTCCTCATTACAACCTGTGGGTGGAGGAAAGTAGCAGCTTTTTTGTCTAATTCTGTTTCAGAGAGGAAAAGGGCCTGGCTAGTGGTCACAAGGCAAAGAAGGAAGGTAACTAGGGAATGTGGAACCTTAAAGCCATCCTTAAAAATGCACTCCCAGCAGCTCCAGAGGGAGGCTGAGGCAGGAGGATCACAAGTTCAAGGCCTACCTCCACAACTTAATGAGACCCTGTCTCAAAATAAAAAGGTGTGGGGATGTAGTTCAGTGACTGAGTAGCCCCGGGGCTCAATCCCCAGCCAAATAAATAAATTAAAAACAAAAACTTATTTGTGACTTTGATTATGACAGAGGCTCGGCAGCTTAAAGTTAAAGAGGGAGGATGCAAAGTCTAAAGAGGGACAGGACTTGTTTGAGGTTACACAGCAAGTCACAGACTGACGATAAAGACTTGGCTGTCATGGTTTCATTCCTTCTCTTCTAACACACTTCTTCACTGCTCCCAGGAGAGGCCAGCCTCAAAGGTGTGGGTGCACCTGAATCAAGATTGCCTTCTGTGATTGTGCCCCCTCACCTTTTCCTCCTCTGTCCCCAGGTGTGCCACAGATCACAATATGGACAACACCACAGAGATGCTGCAGGAGTGGCTGGCAGCTGTGGGCAGTGACTATGCAGCTGTGTTCTGGAGGCCTGAGGGGGAGTCCAGGTTGTGATCTGAGGGATGGATACTGGGGAAGATGGGAAACAGTCACATCCCAGAGACAAGAAGAGGGAGCCTAGAGCCACAGCCTCCAGGAAAGGGCTACACTGCAGAGAGGGAGAGGCATGGTAACTACCCATGGGAACAGCTCATCTCTTTACTCTCTTAGGTCCTACCCAAGTGAAGAGGGTCCCAAGCACTGGACCAAAGAAAGGCACCAGTTTCTGATGGAATTGAAGCAGGAAGCCCTGACTTTTGCCAGGAATTGGGGGGCTGACTATGTCCTGGTAAAGAATCCTAGCTTGGATTGGGCTTCTGTGGTGTCTGTCCCTGATAGAAATCTTGATGTGACTTGATCATCAGCTGAACCCAGGGCCTTGTGCATGTGAAGCAAGCACTCTACCAACTGAGCTCTATCCCCAGCCCCATCAAGCTGAATCTTTCAGAGCCAGATCAGATGTTGAGCTGGAATCCTGTGTTTGATCTCAGACTGGGTAGTAAACCAGGATCCCAGAGACAGATCCTAAAATATTTACTGAGCCTAGATTCCTAGGTAAGTGTCCAGAGTTTAACTGAGCCTGGATCCCTGTATTAGAGCTCAGAGTCAGTCTTTGGATCTACTCCAGGTCTCAGATAAGGTTTTTAGATAAACTACTCTGTTCTGCTCTCTGGGTCTGGTCTCTAAGCCAGAGCCCTAGACTAGATCCTGGTTCAGAAACACATCTATTGGGTTTATTGGTTAGGACTCTATAAGGAAACGCCCACTGGATCCTAGCAGCTGTTCTGGGTCTCTGGCAATCTGGAGGGATTCCTGCTTCATGAGCTCCTTGGGGGGTCTGCTGCCCAGATAGGCCTTGGACCTCTGACATCCCCCTCCCCAAAGTTTGCAGACACAGACAACATTCTGACCAACAACCAGACATTGAGGCTTTTGGTGGAGAAGGGGCTGCCAGTGGTGGCCCCAATGCTGGACTCCCAGACCTACTACTCCAACTTCTGGTGTGGGATCACCCCCCAGGTGAGGGTGGGGCTGGGATGTCAGGAGGCTGAGGTCCTGGGAGGAGGGGCACGAAGAGCAGAGAGCCTGGAGGCCCTGGGCTCTGTGGGCTGAGGCAGGGGAGTTGCTCATAGCTGAGAGCATCCCCCTTCCCCAGGGCTACTACCGCCGCACAGCTGAATACTTCCCCACCAAGAACCGCCAGCGCCGGGGCTGCTTCCGGGTCCCCATGGTCCACTCTACCTTCCTGCTGTCCCTGCGGGCTGAGGGGACATCTCAGTTGGCCTTCCACCCACCTCATCCCAACTACACTTGGCCCTTCGATGACATCATCGTCTTCGCCTATGCCTGTCAGGCCGCTGGTGAGGACTAGCCTCCTTGAGCATTTATTTCTTGGAGGCCCCTGAGCGTTTGCACATGGGCTCCCTCTGCCTGGCATGCCCTTGCCTGCTCTGCATTTCTTCTTGTCAACTCCTGTCTGGCCTTTGGGTCAGAGCATTTCTTGAGTCTACTGCCTTTCTGGCTGCCACCGTTGTGGCACTTTCGTGTATTCCTTCACCAGGCAGATAATTATGGAGCACCTGCCAGGTTTGAGGCAGTGGGGAAAGAGTGGTGAGTAGATTCAGGCAGTCCTTGCCCTCCCGGAGCTTCCAGTTCAGTCAATCAAAAGACCACACGAATCAGTGTTCAATCACAACCATGACAGGAAGGGGAGCTGTGCATGTGTGGTGCTGGGGCTCGAGCCCAGGGCCTCACGGATGCTAGGCAAGCGCTCTATTACTGCGCTACATCTCTAGCCTGTGAACTCGTGATCATAGGTACTCTGGAGGGTGAGACTAGAGCTTCCTGGTCAAGGAAGTCTTCCTGGAGGGAGTGAACTTCTGGTCTGTGATCTAAAATCTGAGCCCGCAGACACTTGTGGTGCATGCCTATCATCCCAGCAACTCAGGAGGCTGAGTCAGGAGGGTCACAAGATGGAGGCCAGCCTCAGCAACTTAGTGAGAACCTGTCACAAAGTAAAATAAAATAAAAAGGGCTCAGTGTGTAAAGCTCTGGACACTGGGGCAACCCTGCAGGGCTGTACCACTGAGCCACATCCCCAGCCCTTTTTGTTTTTTGAGATGGGGTCTTGCCAAGTTGCTTAGGCCCTCTCTAAGTTGTTGAGGCTTGCTTCAAACTTGTAATCCTCCTGCCTCAGCCTCCCAAGTTGCTGGGATGACAGGCATATGCCACCACACCTGGCTCTGTTTTAGTTTCTCGTTGCTACTACTACTTCGATGAGCAGCCACTATTAATTGGTCAGCGTGTGAAGGAATCTGGCAGAAAGTGGTTTCATCTCCACCACTCAAGTTTCTACATGCGCTGTTGTGCCCTCGCTCTGATTAGGGTCTGTGTGCAGTGCTAGGCACGGGTTAGCTTTAAAACAGACACTGAGTGCCTTAATAATTAACAAAGGTGACAGTTTTGTGTATGTGATCCTGGAACCGAACCTTGGGCCTTGTACATGCCAGGCAAGTACTCTATCATTGGGCTACATCCCCAGCTTGAAGGTGACAGATATTGAAGGGGAGAAAAGGTCACCGTGGCTCTCAGGTAGAAGACAGTGTGAAGGGGCAGCGGGGGTGGGGAGAGTTGGGAGTTCAGGAGTATAGCCACAGGACTTGCTGCCATCCCTCAGCTAGGGTCCTGCTCCTTCCTCACCTGACTCCCTGAGGGCAGGCACCCCATATGTCTAGCTCAACACCACAGCCCCAGTGCCCTGCAGGTGTCCTAGACAGGTCTGTTCAGTAAGCCACCATCTGGTGTTGTGTGTCCCACAGGTAGGGAGCTGAGTCCCAGAGAAGACCCACACACTGGGTTCCTGTCAGGTACTGCGCCGGAGGCCTCTGCTGGGTCCTGCAAACCCTAGCCCAGCTCTGGCACTCCTTGACCTCTCTCTACAGGGGTCTCCGTCCATGTGTGCAATGAGCAACGTTATGGATACATGAACGTGGGGGTGAAGTCCCACCAGACCCTGGAGGATGAGAAGGTCAACTTCATCCACCTGATCTTAGAAGCACTGGGTGAGGGCTGGGAACCTGCCCCGCCCACCTGCTGGCTGGTCCCCTGCCTCCCCTTGCTGCCCCTTTCCTAGGCCCTAGACTCAAGTCCCTTGGGCTTGGGGTTCTAGCCTTTCCCTAACTTGTTCCGTGATGCTGAGCAAGCCCCTTCTGTGGGCCTTTCTTCCTGTCTGCTACGGGGCGGGCAGATCTGTCATCCCAGCCTTTTCTGCCCAGTCTTCTGCTGAGGGGGCAGGAATGAGGCTGGGGGCGAGGACTGCAGGCTGGCTGTCCCCGGAAGTTGATGAGGCTCATGATTAGGGTGTACTTCCCTTTGCAGTGGATGGGCCTCCCATGCAGGCCTCAGCTCACGTATCTCGACCTCCAAAGAGGCCCAGCAAGATGGGTTTTGATGAGGTATATCTCCCAACCTGTGGAACTGGGGACAGGGGGTGGTGGTCTCTCTCCTCCCCCTGGCCCCACGCCTCTGTCTCCTCCAGGTCTTTGTCATCAGCCTGGCCCGCAGGCCCAACCGCCGAGAGCGCATGCTGAGCTCGCTCTGGGAGATGGAGATCTCTGGGCGGGTAGTGGACGCTGTGGATGGCAGGTGAGGCTTCCTGTGGATGGGGTCCAAGGGGACAGCCTAGTTCATCTCTGAGCTCCTGGGAGTGGGTAAAGCGGAAGAGTTGAATTAGTTGCCTGTTCCAGGAAGCATCCAAATAGGGCCTGAAGAATAGGTCTTAGGGAATTGCAGGGCAGACAGATGCAGGACAGGACACCCTCGCTCAGCCCACTAGAGGGAGGAGGTAGAGTGGCTAAGGCTCCAGACCTGGGTTCTGCACTGCCACTTTCCAGCTCTGTGACCTTGGGCAAGTTGCCCCCATCTCTCTGCCCTGTTCTGTAAATGGCAAATAATCCTGCCTGGCTCTTCCTGTTTTGCAGGGGTCCAGTGAAGATTCAGCCAGAGCTCAACACCTCTTAGTGCTGTAAAGGGTCAAGTGTCCTTGATACCACTCCCCTCCATCCTGGACTTAGGTCCCTGATGGGTGGGGGTGGGTGCAGCCCAGCCATATTCCTTGGGGAATGCCAAGGCCAGGTTTCTCCAGCCAGCCGGCCTTGTGGCCCGTATGCCTGTCACAGTTTGAGCCCTCTCTCTCTTTCTTTCCCTTCAGTGCTCGGATGGAACGCAGGCTCTTGTGCATACTAGGACAGTGCTTTAGCATTGAGCCATGTGCCCAGCCCACCCCCAGCGCTTTTGCCTGTAGGATGTCCATTCTTTGCTTGGTCATCTGCCCAAGAAGTTGCTACCACGGTGCCCATGTTCACCTTGGGGGGCTTCCCCCCAGGCAGCCCCCTCTGTGGAGCTCAGGACCTCCTGAGGTGACGCTGGTTCCCTCCAGTCACTGACAGCTTTAGACCACAAAAAGGAATTACAGGGCTTAAACCTCCTTTGAGCTAGACTCTGGTGTGACTGTCACCAACATGTGCCGGTGAGGCCCTCTGGAGGAGTCTCTGGCTGGCACCTGTCATTCCATTACACCTGTGTCCCGCAGGATGCTCAATAGCAGTATCCTCAGGAGCCTTGGCGTGGACCTGCTTCCTGGCTACGAGGACCCCTACTCGGGTCGCACACTGACCAAGGGTGAGGTGGGCTGCTTCCTCAGCCACTACTCCATCTGGGAAGAGGTGAGGATACCTGCCTTCTGGGCCACGCCCTTCAGGGACATCAGGGGCTGGCTTGTCCTAGGCATGATTGTTTTCCCAGCACTCAGGTGTGTGCAGGTAAATGAGTGAATGAATGAATCCACAAAGCCTAGTCAGCATCTCTAGGCCTTCTCCGTGTCCACAGAGGGTGCCCTGGTTCACTCCACAGTCTCTACTGACCATCTGCTGGGTGCTAGCAGATATTCTGTCGAGGAACACACAGAACAGGAAGAAGGCACATCTGTCTCCTTCCTGCCAGAGGGGGATCTGCCTGGGGCTCAGGGACCAGAGATGGGCCCAGAACTCAAGAAAGAACCAAACTCTCAGGGGAGAGAAGCGCAGGCTGTCCCTACAGTGCAGTGGCCCTGTCTGCTGCCCAGATTGCCATGTGGGCCTCACCGTGGAGGGGCAGGCAGAGTGAAACTGTGGCAAAGGTGCAGAGAAAGCAAGAGCTTTTCAGGAACAGAGACAGGAAGGCCTGAGGTGTGGCCTTGCTCATCCCTTGGCCCAGAGGCCTCAGCCAGGGGTCAGGGGGCTGGGCCCTCCAATCTCCAGCAACGGTGTGCAGATTCAGTCCTTGTTTTTATTTTCATTTGTTTTGATTTTATAGTGCTGGGAATTGAACCCAGGGCACTCTACCACTGAGCTACGTCCCAGACCTTTTTATTCTTTATTTATTTATTTATTTTTTTATTATTTTTTTTTTTTTAAAGAGAGAGTGAGAGAGGAGAGAGAGAGAGAGAATTCTTTCAATATTTATTTTTTTTTAGTTCTCGGCGGACACAACATCTTTGTTGGTATGTGGTGCTGAGGATCGAACCCRGGCCGCACGCATGCCAGACGGGCGCGCTACCGCTGAGCCACATCCCCAGCCCTCTTTCTTTATTTTTGAGTCAGAGTCTCACTAACTTGCTGAGGCAAACTTTCAATCCTCCTGCCTCAGTCTCATGAGTAGCTAGCATTTAAGGTGTGCACCATGGCACCCAACTTCTTGTTTTATTTTCTTCTATAGCCACAATATGTATGTATGTGTGTGACCTCATGTTTACATTTATGGTTGATTTTTCCCATCTGAGCAAATTGAAGGATGACATGGTTCATCATTTACTGAGCTGATTTCATGTTCTTTTCACATTTCCAAAGTTACAGAAAGTATTTTTTCTTTGCAATGTTGGGGGCTGGGGTCTCCCCTCACCCCCACCCAGCCCAGCGTCCTTCCAGAAGCTCAGGAGGCTGAAGAGATGAGCCAAGTCCTGGAGCCCAGCAGTTGCAGGTCTGCTGTGTGCCCTTGGCTGGGCAGTCTCACCTCCTTCCTGTCATGGGGGGTCACGTTCCCGCCTCCTGGGTATCCCTGGAGGTGAATGGTAGCACTAGCCCCAGGGATAGAGCAGAGCTCAGTGACCACAGCAAGGGTGGTGATTGCCAAATACTTCTTTTTGGCAAACTAGGCTGAGGATCTTGGGGAGGGCCCGAATTTCATTTCCTAGGCAGTGGCAGCCCCGGTGGGCTTGGGAGTCACTGTGTGAGCCTTGGGATGTGGCTAAGGAAGGCAGATGGGAAGTGGGTAGCTCAAATCTGCAGAGCCATCTCCCTATCCCCACCATGTACCACAGGTAGTGGCCAGGGGTTTGGCCCGGGTGCTGGTATTTGAGGACGACGTGCGCTTTCAGAGCAACTTCCGGGGGCGACTGAAGCAGCTGATGGAGGAGGTGGAGGCCCAGAAGCTTCCATGGGACCTCATGTAGGCAGCCTGCACCCCAGGGGGAAGGGAGAGGGCTGGCTACGTCCTGCTTGGAGTCCTGGCCACTTCCCACCCCTGAACCTGCTGAGAGGGGACTTGACACCCCGGGACCTACAGTGGCTTCTGGGGCCCTTGATTCACTTGCAGCTACCTTGGCCGAAAGCAGGTGAACCCTGAGGAGGAGGTGGCTGTGGAGGGGCTACCAGGCCTGGTGGTGGCAGGGTACTCCTATTGGACACTGGCATACACTCTGAGCCTGGCAGGCGCCCGCAAGCTGCTGGCCTCCCAGCCTCTACACCGCATGCTGCCTGTGGACGAGTTCCTGCCCATCATGTTTGACCAGCACCCCAAGTGAGGCTCTGCTGGGGCTGGGCAGGGCAGGGGTGTCCCATCCAGGAGCCTGTCTCAAAAAGTTCCCTCGCTGGGCAGCTGGGGAGGTGGAGCCTGATCAGGCCCAGGTCACCCAAGAGTGACCAGTGGTCAGACCCAGCTGCATGTGAATGCCTTGCTGCCCTCATGTTTTTTTTTTTTTTTTAGTTGTAGGTGGACACAATATGTTTATTTTGTTTGTTTCTATTTTTATGCGGTACCAGGGATCAAACCCAGTGCCTCATGCAAGCGCTCTATTACTGAGCCACAACCCAGGCCCCCACCCTCATGGTTTTAATCAAATGGCTTCCCCGTTATAAGCCTCAGTTTCCTTATATAGAAAATGGGAATAATAGAAGTCCTGCTTCTCAGGGCTATTGTAAGGACCAGTGAGGAGGGCGGTGAGGGGAGGGGAGGCACCAGGCTCCTGGCTGCTATGGGGTCTGGGATCAGGGGTCCACCTTGGCCCACCTGAACTGTCTTCCTGTTTCACAGTGAGCAGTACAAGGCACACTTCTGGCCAAGGGACCTGCAGGCCTTCTCTGCCCAGCCCCTGCTCGCTGCCCCCACCCACTATGCAGGGGATGCTGAGTGGCTCAGTGACACAGAGACATCCTCTCCTTGGGACGATGACAGCGGCCGCCTCATCAGCTGGACTGGCTCTCAAAAGACCCTGCGCGGCCCTGTCCTGGATCTGGCTGGTAGCAGTGGGCACAGCCTCCATCCCCAGCCCCGGGATGAGCTCTAGGTGAGGCCCCATTCACTGGGCTGAGTCTGGACATGTTTCCATCTCCTCAGCCATCTTCTCTTGTTCTATCACTGGCTTTGTCTTTGTCTCATTGTGTCTTTGACTCGCTTTTGCTCTGGCTGTTCTCTGTACCTGTTGGTGTTTGTCTCTCTCAGATTGCATCTGACTCCAGTTCTTTCTGTTTTTCTGTTCCTGCTTCTTCCACCTCTGTCCCATCAGGTCCAAACAATGACTCCAAAGGAGTGCATAGGAGCAGAGGTATTGCTGGCAGGAGCTGCACCCAGAAGCTACAAAGCCAGAGAGATCTGGCTGTCGCCTTAGACTTGGCCACTCTGCCTCTGGACCAGTCTAGGTTGGGAGAAACCACTCAGAAATGGATCCTGTTTCCCAGAGGTCACTTGGCAAAAGGGTAGGATTCAAAGACTCCTGACCCTGCTGGGCCTGGTTCATAGCCCCAGGTAGAGGGACAGAGGGGGCTCCTCAGCTCTCAGTTTCATGCTGGGCAGATTCCTGGATCCCTGCCCTCCCTAAGGACTCAGCCACTGGTGTCTTCTGTCCCTTCTACCTCCACATCAACAGCGTCCCCTGCTCAACGCCTGGGTCTCACCAGCACCTTCTTTCCTGGCAATGGGAAGTTCAGGGAGGTGGAAGTGGGAGGTAGAGCCCTGCAGACCTGGTGTTAAGCACAGAGTAACCTCAATAAAAGCCAGATGTATTTGCACTTTATACTTTTTAACAAATGGCCAAGCCTCTGCGTCTCTGCTGGCCTGGGAGGGAGGCTTTCCCTATCTAGAGATGAGGAGCAGAGGGGAGGGCAGCCAGAGGAGGAGTCAGGCTAGGCTGGCGTCACCTCCTTGCTGTGTGTTCTTGGGCAAGGGCCACCCCTTCTTTGCTGTTGGACAAGGTAGGCCCAGGCCAGACCCGGAGCTGCTGATTCCAGCTGTTCCCTGACCACTCCTATCTTTGGAGCTCAGAGGAGGTCCAAGTTTCACCTCTGGCCCTAACCAGTGGTGCCACCAGAGGGCGCCAGATTCTAGGCCCTGGACCATCTGGGCCAGGGTGCCCTCTGCTCCCCTGGGTTTGAAACCTGGAATAGAGGGAGGGGCATTTGGAACCTGCCCCTATGTAGGGTCACCCCCAGCAGCAACTGCTTGGAAAATGTGCCTTCCTTCCCTCCCATCTGCGTAAGCATAGGTCTGGGCCTGGGCCTGTCTCCCATGAGTGCAGTTGAGTCAGAGCAGGAGGGAGAAGTCCCTTTGCTTTCGGTGGCTAGCTGCCTTGGCCTCTACCAGGACAGGATCAACGCCCTGGTGTCTTCAGAGAAGCCCCTTCCTTACCTCTCTCCATGGCGGACTCACTGGGTGGTGTGAGCACCCCTGTCCTGGCAAAGTCTAGCAGACACCTCTATGGTTGGACTGTCCCTGGGCTCTGTCCTGTGGTGGGGATCAAGGACTTGGCATGACTGTGAGAAGGGCTTTAGGCCAGAGCTGGGGGCTTGGTGCTTTATTTCTTCCCAAAAGGAAAGTCATTAATTTTGAATGGCTATGACCTTGGGCAAGTCCCTTCTTCTGGTGTTCCCTTCATTCAGTGAGCCAGGACCAGGCACTGGGGGTTACAGCAGTAAAAGACACTTCAAAAATGGACTGGGGGGTGGGGGGGGTGGCTCTGTGGTAGAGCACTTGCTTGCACAAGGCCCTGGGTTCAATCCCAGCACCTTAAAACAAAAACAGTCAAAACACCCCAGACCTCGTGGAGCTGACTTCCCAGCAAGGGGGACAGACAAACCAGTAAGGAAATTAATTAGAGGCTCTTGGTGCTACAGAGGAGAAGGAGGAGCGAATAGGTAAGTGAACAGGCAAGCCACGTGGAGGTCTGAAGGAAGGCAGAGCAGGCCAGGGGACAGGTCTGCAAAGGTCCTGCAGCCTGAAAGACAACGAAGAGGCCATTGTGGCTGGAGCACAATGGGAAGAGGAGCCAAGATCAGAACAGGTAGGACCTTGATGCCAGGTTGGCGTTACTCTGAGATGGAGCCACTGGAGTTGAGGAAAGAGAAGCCACCTGACCTAACTAACTTAGATCAGCATGTCCGACACAGTTTCACCCCAGGACCCAGGCTGCCGTCCTGAGAGGGGACTGTGGGTGGGTCCAGAGTGGAACCAGGGGGACCCATGAGGAAGCAGGTGTAATAATTCAGGTGAGACTCAAGGTGCCTCAGACCAGGTGGTAGCCATGGAGGTGCTAGGGGGTAGAGCAACAGAGTTCCAAGAGGAGGGAACTGCTGAGGGTGACCTTGGGGATTTGACTGAAGAATGGAATTTCCATTGACTGAAATGAGAAAGCACATGGATGGGACTGGTTGGGGATGGATCAAAAGCTCTGGGGCCTAAATTGGAGATCTAGGTGGAGATATCAAGTAGCAGTTCTCTCTTCTTTTTTTTAAGCCTTTATTTTACTCATTTATTTATGTGCAGTGCTGAGAATTGAACCCAGTGCCTCACACATGCTAGGCAAATGCTCTACCACTGAGCCACTACACCCCAGCCACCTCAACTTGTGATCTTCTTAACAGCCTCCCGAGTACCTCGGATTCTTAAATAAAGTATAAAAAAGGGCTTGGGATGTGACTTAGTAGTTGAGCAACCCTGGGTTCAATTCTCGAACCAAAAAAAAAAAAAGATGAATTTGACAGGTCATATACTATGTAATCCCATACATATGAGGGATTAGGGATCTTCCTAACAGCCTCCCAAGTACCAGGCATGTACCACTGTGCCTGGCTCCTGTTTGAATTTTTTTTTTCCTTTTTTGTACTAGGGGAACTTAATTACTAAGCCACATCCCTAGCTTCCCCGCCACCTTTTTTTTTTTTTTTAATCCCTAGTCCTTTTTATGTTTTATTTTGAGACTTGGTCTCCCTAAGTTACTTAGGGCTTCACTAAATTGCTGAGGCTAGCTTTGAATTTGTGATCCTCCTGTTTCAGCCTCCCTGGCTTCTGGGATTACAGGAATACACTACCATACCTGGATGGAAATCTTTAAAAACCTATTTAGCTGGATATGGTGGCACACGCCTGTCATCCCAGTGATTTAGGAGATTGAGGCAGGAGGATTGCAATTTCAAGGACATCCTCAGCAAATTAGTGAAGCTCTAAACAACTTAGACTGTCTCAAATAAAAAGGGCTGGGAATACAGCTCAGTGGTGCCCCTGGGTTCAATCTCCAATAAAAAACCTATTTAGATGATGGTTTTTCTAAAAAAAATCTGCTCCCTCATATCTGCAATAGTAAGTAGCACACTCGCTTGTAAACTCAATATTGTAAGCACCCTGGTGCTCTTTGTCTACTGAGGTATAAGGACCATCTGTCCCTTTACTAAGTGACCACAAACCACTGAGCTTTCTAAGTTCCTTAATCATTTTAAAAGTTATTTTGCTTCTTCCCTCTCTCTGAAGTTGCCAGGATAAAGAACATAGATTCTGGGGCTGGGATGTAGCTCAGTGGTAGAGCACTCACCTAGCATGAGCAAGGCCCTGAGTTTCATCCCCAGCACCACAAACAAAACTAAACTCTAGAGTGGAAGTCTAATGGTTAAAGTTCTACCATCTCATGTGACCTGTGTGACCTTGGGATGTTACCTAGCTTCTCTGAACTTTCATTTTCCCATGTGAAAATGGGGACACACTGCCTTTCAGTGGGAAGTAATGCATGGTTATTGTTATTTTATCATTTGGTTGTCTGGAGATTGTCCCAGAGCCATGAGTGATGATGATTTCTGCTGCAGAGGACCAAGAAGCATAACTTGAACTGGTTTAACCAATAAGGACATTTGGGGCTGGGGATGTGGCTCAAGCGGTAGCGCGCTCGCCTGGCATGCGTGCGGCCCGGGTTCGATCCTCAGCACCACATACCAACAAGAATGTTGTGTCTGCCGAGAACTAGAAAATAAATATTGAAAATTCTCTCTCTCCTCTCTCTAAAAAAAAAAAAAAAAAAAAAAAAAAGGACATGTGCATAAGTTTCCCCCAAAGATCCATAGATTAAAGACATGTTTCCTACCCTGTAGCACTATTGTGAGGTGGTAGAACCTTTAAGAGATGAAGCCTAGAGGCTGGGGCTATAGCTCAGTGGCAGAACACTTGCCTAGCATGCGTGAAGCACTGGGTTCCATCCTTAGCACCACATAAAAATAAAAAAATAAAATGATGGCATTCTGTCCATCTTCATTACCAAAAAATAAATAAATAGGGGCTGGGGTTGTGGCTCAGTGGTAGAATGTTCACCTTGTACATGCGAGACCCTGGGTTTGATCCTCAGCACCACATACAAATAAATGAATAAAATAAAGGTATACCAAAAAAAAGCTTTAAAAATAAATAAATAATACAAATTTTAAAAAAGAGATGGAGCCTCGTGGGAGGTTTTCTTGTCATGGGGGGCATGCCCTTGAAGAAGATATTGGGAGCCCAGCCCCTTTCTGTCTCTCTCTTTCATAGTTTGGTCATGAGATGACCAATTTTGCTAAAGCACTACTGCCATGAGAAACTGTCTCACCATACACCCAAAGCAACAAGACCAATATGATCGTGGAATGAGACCTCTGAAACCCTGAGTCAAAATATTCTCTCCATTTTTTTTTCTTGATAATGCTAAGGATGGAAACTAGGACCTTGCATATACCAGACAAGTGCCCTACCACTGAGCTACAAACCCAGCTTTTTAAGTTGATTATCTCAGGTACTTTGTTATAGCAATAGAAGGCTGTCTAACGCAACATGTATTGTCTAACCTAACTAAGTGTCCATAAGTGAAGTGAACTTTTGAGTTTGGTTTAATCTCCGCTTCTTTTTTATCTTTTGGGCCCATGTATTGGCTTATTCTCAGGTTGGTGGCAAAATGGCTGCTGCCATTCCCAGTGTTCTATCCTGGACCAGAAATACATCCAGTGGAAAGAAGAAGTTTACTTCTAGAGGCTCTCCCAGAAAGAACCCTGGCGTACCTCCCCACATTGGCCCAAGTTGAGACACATGCCCATTTCTGAGTTAACTGTTGATGATCGCAGGCAGAGGGTAGGATTTTCCTCAGGCCACTAGACTCATCCTCAGGGCCTGAGTTGGCCTGCATGAAGCAGGGTCTGAGGTCACATCCATGTTCCTGTGGGCAGTGAGCATGTGGTACTGATGAGCTGGCATGGCCAAGGTGGTATTCCACTCCCTGGATGTCTACTTAAGCAGTCCTGCAGGGATCACCACTGCCTATCCTGGACAGAGGACCTTGAACCTCTTGCTGGAAAGGTTCTGGTCCCCTGAGCCCCAAGGCAGCCCCTGCAACCCCAAGTGAAGCTGGTTCATGGAGGAGGAGACTGCTGTGTGCCATCTCCTCCAAATGGTTCCACAGATTCATTTTTCCAAAGTCCTGATAGCCCTATCTGTTTATAGCTCACCTGTCCTTTTATTTTTTCAGTACTAGGGATTGAACCTTAAAGTGCTCTTCCACTGAAAAACATCCCAGCCCTTTTAAAATTGAGACAGGGTCTTGCTAAGTTGCTCAGGCTCACTTTGAACTTGTGATTCTCCTGCCTCAGCCTTTTGGATTGCTGATATTACAAGTGTGAGCCACCATGTCCATCTGCATCTTGACAGCTTTAACCATGCATGAATGTTCTGCAAATTAGTGCTTTAGCCTTATTTTGAAATACTGACATGGA